TTTTCCTGGAATTTTTGCTTTAACCTTTGACCCTGATTTAAAAAAAAAACGTGACCACTGCAGACAACGACGACAACGGTATTTCGATGAGGCTTGTTCTCCTCTTTCCAATGATATAAAATATAGCCGTGTGTTACTCCGTTAACCCAAATCGATCAAATTCGTTGATTGGGCACCCTACTTATAGAGGCAATAACTGCTATAAAGATTCAACTGAAGATTTCGAAATTCAACTCATTTATAAATCTGGTTTTGTTCATAATTTTTTTCCTAAAGAAAATGTCTCTTATAGTTTCAAAACACTAGACAATATCAAGCACAAATAGATAAACATTTAAAAGCAATAAGGCGCAACTCCTTTAAGGAGTCAACTGTCGATTCGGCAATTCAATATTTGTAGATCTTGTCTTGTTGATGAGTCGGGGCTTTTTTCAACTGATTTTTATAGTTTGTTAATATGTTCTGCTGTAACAGTCATGTCCCAGGTTATGGGAGGGATGAATGCACAAAGTCATGTTTAACTACACCACATTCTGTATGTGCCTGTTCTAAGTTAGTATCCTGTGACAGACACCCATTAACTTATACAATCTGAGAACAAGATACGAGACATACACCACATTTACTTATACAATCTGAGAACAAGATACGAGAAAGACACCCGTTAACTTATACAATCTGAGAACAAGGAACGAGACATACACCACATTAAATTATACAATCATATATTAACAAGAATTATACAATCTGAGAACAAGATACGAGACAGACACCACATTAACTTATACAATCTGAGAACAAGGAACAAGACATACACCACATTAACTTATACAATCTTAGAACAAGATACGAGACAGACACCACATGAACTTATACAATCTGAGAACAAGGAACGAGACATAAACCACATTAACTTATACAATACAATCTGCGAACAAGATACGAGAATGACACAACATTAACTTATACAATCAGAGAACAATGAACAAGACAGACACCACATTAACTTATACAATCTGAGGACAGGGGTCGAGACAAAAAAACACACAAACAAAGAACAAAACAGGCAACACATAAAAGTATACTTCTTGAAAACAAGAAACGAGACAGGCAACGCATAAAATTAGACCATCTGAGAACAAGGAACAAGACAGATAACACATACACTTATACAATATGAGAACAAGAAACAAAACAATCAACACACACACTTATATAATCTAAAACAAGGAACGAGACAGGCAGCAAACAAACTAATACAATCTGAGATTAACGAACGAAACGGACAACACACAAATTAATACACTATTAGAACAAAGAACGAGACATACACCACATTAACTTATACAATCTGAGAACAAGATACGAGACAGACACCATATTAACTTATACAATCTGAGAACAAGGAACCAGACATACACCACATTAACTTATACAATCTGAGAACAAGGAACTACACAGCCACACAAAAATGTATACAGTCTGAGAATAAGGAACCAAACAGACGACAAATTAGGTTTCTCTAATTGTTGTGCTATTTTCACAATTCCTTTCTTAGAACAAGGAATGAAACACACAACACACAAACTTATACAATCTGAGAACAAGAAACTAGACAGAAAACACAGAAAGTAATAAAATCTGAGAACAAGGAACAAGACATAAAAAAACCTGTTCAATCTGAGAACAAGGAATTAGACACAGAAGACACAAACTTATCTAATCTATTAAACACGGAACGAGACATGTAATACACAAACTTATACAATCTGAGAGCAAGGAACGAGACAGACACAAATAAACTTATACATTCTGAGAATAAGGAATGAGACAGGCAGCCCATAAATATATTTAATATGAGACGAAGGAATGAGACAGGCAACCCACAAATGTAAACACTGTGAGAACAAGCAACTCAACAGCAACACACCTATAAACTTATACAGTCTGAGGACAAGGGACGAGACATGTAATACATAAACTTATACAGTCTGAGAACAAGGAACGAGACATGTAATACATAAACTTATACAGTCTGCGAACAAGGAATAAGACATGTAATACATAAACTTATACAATCTGAGAACAAGGAACGAGACATGTAATACGTAAACTTATACAATCTGAGAACAAGGAACGAGACATGTAATACATAAACTTATACAGTCTGGTAACAAGGAACGAGACATGTAATTCATAAACTTATACAATCATAGAACAAGGAACGAGACATGTAATACATAAACTTATACAATCTGAGAACAAGGAACGAGTCATGTAATACATAAACTTATACAGTCTGAGAACAAGGAAAGACATATAATACATTAACTTATACAATCTGAGAACAAGGAACGAGACATGTAATACATAAACTTATACAATCTGAGAACAAGGAACGAGACATGTAATACATAAACTTATACAGTCTGAGAACAAGGAACGAGACATGTAATACATAAACTTATACAGTCTGAGAACAAGGAACGAGACATGTAATACATAAACTTATACAGTCTGAGAACAAGGAACGAGACATGTAATACATAAACTTATACAGTCTGAGAACAAGGAACGAGACATGTAATACATAAACTTATACAGTCTGAAAACAAGGAACGAGACATGTAATACATAAACTTATACAATCTGAGAACAAGGAACGAGACATGTAATACATAAACTTATACAGTCTGAGAACAAGGAACGAGACATGTAATACATAAACTTATACAATCTGAGAACAAGGAACGAGACATGTAATACATAAACTTATACAGTCTGAGAACAAGGAACGAGACATGTAATACATAAACTTATACAATCTGAGAACAAGGAACGAGACATGTAATACATAAACTTATACAGTCTGAGAACAAGGAACGAGACATGTCATACATAAACTTATACAGTCTGAGAAGAAGGAATGAGACATGTAATACATAAACTTATACAGTCTGAGAACAAGGAACGAAACAGACACAAATAAAATCATACAATCTGAGAATAAGGAACGAGACAGGCAGCCCATAAATAAATACAATGTCAGAACAATGAACTCAAAAGGCAACACACAAACTTATACAATCTGAGAACAGGAAACTAGACGTACTTTGACCTTTAATGGTTTACTTTTACAGATTGTGACTAGGATGGAAAATTGTCTCATTGGCACTCATACCACATCTTCGTATATCTATGAACGGGGACACATGATCAATCGCGTTGGTGTGTTGCCATTCTCGTTATATGTTCTCTGATTGCAAAATTATGTCTCTTACTTAATCTGTGCCTGTTTTCTTGACTAAATGGATGACAAGGCTTTGTCATTAAATCGGAACTAAAGAGAATGCATTTGGTAATTGCTTAAACTTTTTAGGAAAACATAAACCGAGTGTCTTTAGTTCTGGCTAGCCAGTAAGAGGTTAAATCTCTTTTTTGAGCCTGTAATCCGTTTGCATTTGCGCAAATGTTCAATATCAGCAGCAGTGTCATGTGGCGCGGAAAGTGCCCCGAACGAAGTGTGGGATTGGAAAACCGCGTTTTGAGAATTGGAGATCGTGTTTTATATCTAACTGGAGGTTACGAGTAGCCTGTGTCGCTCACCTGATATTTTTGTTTACAATTGATGCTTGAAATAATGCAATCATTATACTTTTGCTTTAGTTTCAGAGATACATTGTATAAGCCAAAAACTTCATTTTACCCTTATGTTTTATTTTTAGCCATGGCTGACATGTTGGTTGGCAGGCGTGGTCATCGGACACATTTTTTAAACTAGATACCCTAATGATGATTGTGGCCAAATTTGGTTAAATTTGTCTTCGTAGTGTCAGAGGAGAAGATTTTTGTAAAAGATTACAAATATTTACGAAAAATTGTTAAAAGTTGTCTTCAGAGGGCAATATTTCCTTTTGGGGTCAATTGACAATTTTGGTCATGATGACTTATATATAGATCTTAATTTGCTGAACATTTTTGCTGTTTACAGTTTATCTCTATCTATAACAATATTCAAGATAATAACCAAATGTTCTTAAAATTACCAATTCAGGGGCAACAACTTAAAGACGGGTTGTCTGATTCGTCTGAAAATATCAGGGCAATTAGATCTAGACATGATGAACATGTATATATCCATGTCAGATGTGCTCTTAATGCTTTGATTTCAGAGATATAAGCCACAATCTACATTTTACCTCTATGATCTATTTTTAGCATCCATCTTTTGGAGTCCTCTTAGTTGGATGGTCGGGTCATCGGACACATTTTTAAACTAGATACCCCAATGATGATTGTGGCCAATTTGGGTTAGTTTCAGAGGAGAAGATTTTTGTAAACGTTAATGGACGACGACGACAGACGACGGACGACGGACGCCAAGTGATCAGAAAAGCTCACTTGGCCTTGTGGCCAGGTGAGCTAAAAATGACCTTCAGAACATTAGAGAGAATGTGATTGCTTTAAAAACAATGTCTATGGGACATACTTAAGAACAAAAGCGTGTACACGATGTGCTTTATATTTTTCTACTTCTACTAGATCTTTTTTCTTCAATATTACTTATTCCCAGAAAATTTTATCTGACGCTTAATATCAATAACGTCCGCGTGGAGAACGTGTAAAACATTAATAGTTTTAATTCTCATGGATGAACTTTTTACCACTTCTTTCTCCTCTGAATGCTACACTTTACAAAAAAATACATTCATTGTTCATTAATTGTTATGAATGGACGGTTAAATATCATCATATAGCAGAGAAAAAAATGGTCCTCCGGGTGGTCGGAAGAATAGATTTTTTTTTACTATTTTTCTTGCTAGCCAGAAGAATAGCCACTGCCAAAACATAAAACCAACAAATCAGGAAAAAAAATGTCTTACAATTTTAAGTTAATTTATTACAGTTTAAAGTTAGGCACATGAAATAATTGGTTGCCCTTCAGGGTCCCTCAAATTTGTTTGTTACATCTCTTACTCATAACTTAAGTAATACAACAGCACTTCATAGTTCAAACATCAAAATAACACATAACACAATCTTCTGCAAAATGGCTGGTTTAAGTGTTTGGGCACAAAGACATATCTCTAGGATTGAGGAAAACTTTACACAAGCTGATAAGGATAATAGTGGGACCTTACAGCTTTCCGAAGTTATCCAGGTACTTCGGAACTCCGGATTTAAAGGAAGCGATGAAGAGGCAAAGGTATGATTTTTCTATGGAAACATTTATATGAAGAAGATTCTTAAATTAGTTAAATACACATTAATATTTCCGCTGATATTTGTTCTTATGTCTTTCTAATTTCAGGTGATTCGAATCTTTCAATGAGATAGCTTTCTTTCAAATATTAAAAATTAATTGCTAGCTCATTTTTTGCAATTATGACTCATAGATTAATCAATGGTAAAGAAGCTAAATTGGGAAGATTGCCATGTATTTTGATAAGCAACTTATGGGACGACCATTTGATATTCATGGGGAGGGGGGACAGAATGATAGTTTGCCAATTGAATTATAAATCTTCAACTGTTGCTACTTGTATGCATGCTTTTATATTTTCAGCGGCTGTGCAATTTACAACGAGAAAAACGTTTCTTTAGCACACAATTATTTAATTATTTCCTGCATTTTGGGTTGCAGAATATTCATTTCCATCATGTTTTGGGCAAGAATATTTATTTTTCAGTTATTACTAGGCCAGGGTATTCATTTTCAAAATCCACAGAAAATCAAATATTTAAACGGCAATGATTAGAAATAAAGAGTTCAATTTATTTCGAAGTCTAATTTGGACACGGCTATCGTTTAACACGCATTATCAGTGAAGACATCGTTGAAGGTAGCACAATACAAAGATTTTTTACTTCCAATCTCCAAACTTTAAAATGATGTTACTTTCTTATGACTGCATATAAATTAATTAAAGAGGTATATATAGATAGATAAAAGATTAATCTTTTAAATGAATGCAATATTATTGTTATGCAATCATTATGTAATCAATTATTATGCAATTAATGGCAAAATCTTGGTCAGTTCACTTGAATGAATTTAGCTCTATCATCTCTATAACTATACAGGAAATTTTAACGAAATCTTAATCAACACAGCAGGAGCTACAAAAGGGTGTCTCAAATTATCGCTATCGTATTCCATCCTCTCATAAATCTCTAATAAGTGTAAACATCCTTACCACATAAAAGTAGATAATATTTGATTAGGTTCAAAATCTGAGACATCCTTTTGTAGATAATGGCTCTAGGAACAACATATAATAAAATCAACCCTCTTTGGGATATCCATGAAGAAGCTAATTTCAATTGAAAGTGGAAATGTCTTGTAAAATTTTGTAGACACAGTTAACATTATAATTGATTACATAATTGTTGTATAATACAAATTAACATTGCATTAATTTGAAAGAGTAATCTGTTACATTTTGTAGCTATCCATAAATACCAAATGTTCAAGCATTATAAAGAAAGTTACAGCATTTAAAACTTGGGAATTGGAGGTATAAAATCTTTGTATTGTGCTACCTTAAATATGTTTATATGATTATCTCTTACAGAAAATATTCTCCGAGATAGATGCCGACAAGAACCAAGTGGTTTCAAGAGTAGAATTTAAGAATGCGATGTCAAAAGTTCCGAAGATCGATTTCAAGTGAGATCATATTTGAATGACGAAACAATACAATGCAATACAATACAATACAATACAATACAACAATTTCATTGTCGATCAAAGACACCCAATGAGGGCAGTATACTTACAAACAATTTATTACACTGATTGATATTAATTCGTAATGATGTATAGTAACAAAATACAGAATAGAAAATAAATACACACAAAAAACAAACAAAAAACAGGTATGTACATATATATATATATATATATTATCTATTATATATAACATACTATATGCAAATGTCTATGGATGTAGTGCCAAAGATATTAAAGATGTTATAAGATGCATTATATACGGTATACTCGAAAACTTTAAACACGAAAGTGATTCATAACAAACTTCGTTAGTGATTGAAGTTTTACTATGCAATAATAGACTGCTTTATCTATCAAGTCTATTGCAGCTGTTGAAATTGCTACTGTGCAGTTCTATAAATACCACATATACAGGCGCACACATTCTAATTACATTTGCTGTATAAAATAATCACTCAATTATCTATTAGTATGTCTGGGTGCATTACACTTCAAAACATCTCAATGCTGGCAATAACATGTGTGTCTAGCGTTGATGTGATTGAATGTATTAGATGTAATCCTTTCATAACCTTTTTGTTAGCTCCGAAGATATGAGAGGATTACAACTTATTTACATATACGTAAAATATAAATATTGTATCTTTTCTCTTGTTCTAAAAAGAGCCGTTAGTAACAGATACTAGAATGCGAATTCTTATTACTGCGATTCTCACTCGGATTCTATCCCTGTCTCATTATTCGCATTGATAAAAACCTTGCAATTATTTCTGAATTACAGTGCAATTACATTTTTTCTCTCTTCAAATATCGTCTGACTGGTTAAATTTACAAATACTAATTCTAACTGCGAACAATTACAAATCAGAAAACTGAAAAAAGCATATGTTCAACAGTTGCTTCGAAACAGAAACAGTAATTTCTGGAATATCGAATATATGTATACATTGGGACGGGACTTAATACGACACCAAATTAATTCGGAATAATTAGCCCAACAATGTAGTAATCCGACACCAATTCATTCGGAATAATTAGCGCAACAATGTACTTATCCGACACCAAATTCATTCGGAATATTTAGCCCCACAATGTAGTTATCCGACACCAATTCATTCGGAATAATTAGTCCAACATTTTAGTTATCCGACACCAATTAATTCGGAAGCAACACACTATTCTGACAAACCAACTAGCTGATTAATTTAATAGGAAAGGTTAATAAAACATGATCCTTTTTTTGTGATATTTTGAATATCAGGCTGTTCATTATCATATGCACACCCCAATAACCAAAATTATAACTTTTTCTAATGACATTTTCTTTTCTTTTCTTTTTGCTAAATAATCGCCGCATTAATCTCATTGGAGCAAAGGTTCAAAATCATTAACATGTATGATATGCATGTGATATTTGCCACTGAACATTAAACGCCAATCCTTTCATTCATCCATTCTTTCGTCTTTTGTAGATAAAAAATCAATATTTTTTCAAATAAAAATCATATAGAAGACTTAAGCATTAAGTTTTCGGCAAAAATGAAAATGACAAATAAATTAATAAAGCAGTACAAAACACAAAAACGAAAACGAAAACGAAAAAATCAAAAAAAAACCTGACAAACTGAGTGAAAAAAAACCGTGTAATTCCTGACTTGGAAATTTTTCCAGAGATAAATGGTGGGTTAAATCTGGTTTTATAGCTAGCTAAACCTCCCACTTGTATGACAGTTGTTTATAATTACATTTACCATTACTTTTTCATAGCCACTTTAATGATGAGCATTGTATTGTACTGCCACTAACTTTTACATTTTCCCAGACTTTATATTGTACAGTCATTTACTTTTACATTTACAGGACTCTAGTGATGAGAAGATCGTTTAAACATTTAGATACCGATGGAAGTGGATTTTTAACCAGAGACGAGATTCTGGCAGCAGCAACCAATGAATGTGGACTTGATGTAAAGGCTGAAATGATATCAGAAATGCTGCTAGCCCTTATAAAGGATGATGATAAAAAGGTATAGTAGTGCCAGTATTATATGATATCAGAAATGTTCTGGCGCTTATAAAGAATGATGATAAAAAGGTATAGTAGTGCCTTTTAAATTGCGTCTAATAAAAAAAACAAAGATGTGTATACATTTCTATGAATCAACAATTTAAAAAAAATACAAGACAACACAGAAAGACAATAAAAAATTAATTAAAAGAATCTGGTTCAATCAATTACTTATAATCAAAACTAACCGTTCTAAGTCAGAATCTCCAATGTTTCAGACGCTATCAACATAGATTTTTAAATTACGTGTTTACATGAAGCTTGATGCGAGATTAAAACTTCCTCAATCATAAGACCCAATGCATTTAAAAGATTTTCGAGTATACATTTATTTATTTACCATTAGCTTTAGAGTTCTAGCAAGAAGAGGTAGAGTGAAAAGACTTATTACAAACAACAGTGCAAAGTGTTTTTTTTTCTTGCAAACAAAATACATTTTGAGGGGAAATAACTATAATTTTCAATACATTTCGATGGAATATAATGCATTTTTTTCATTTTTGTTTTTGTTTTACTTTGAGTAATCTTTTTTTCATTTTTTCATTTCATTTTTTTTTTTTTTTTTTTTTTTGGGGGGGGGGGTCCTTACTCCTCAAATGTCAATAAATCACAACTAATTTAGCTGTCTGGCCAGTAAGTTGTGTTTTGGCCTGATACGTTGTGCAAGATTTGAGTAGAATGTTTGTTGTACTGTAGAATGTGGTTCCATCCACTACTTTTTGTCGAAAGCTTCTGTACCAAGTGATTACTTGGACATTTAATCCCCAATGTTTCAGACGCTATACATGACATCTAGATCTAAAGTTGTTTTAAGAGGGACTTCTTGTTTGCATTTAGATTTATGATTCTTAAATTTGATACATTTTGGATATCAACAATAGGTTGTCATCACCGGTATCTGAGAATGCGTATGATAAAATGATATGATGTTACTAATTGTAAATAAATTTCAGTATTTAACAGTATTTATCTGATAAATAAAATGTAAAAGTTATTTGATTTCTTGATATAAAAATTTTGAATAAATAACTGTGGCTGAATTCTGAAGCATCAGTTCATTATGTTCACATTGTGATGTTTAAAATGTTAATAATTATGTTCTCTTTAAGATTAACTATGACGAATTTCTTGATATTTGGGGTCGGCGCTCTACTGGTGAACTTCTGAGAGACATCTTCAAACGGCTTGATGTGGATAAGAGTGGAACATTGTCTAAACAGGAACTAATAGACGGAATCAAATCGGATGAGGAGTTGAAACTTTGTGGTAACAAACTGTCTAGTATGCTGATCACATGGTGTAAAGGCGAGGACAACAGTCTTAAATACGAAGACTTTATCAGAGCTTATGAAAGCGCAAAGTAACTATCATTACGAACGTATGGAATACATTTGTTGTAAAATTATTGTTGTATTTATATAACTTATATTAATTTGTACCAAACATTTTACTCGTATATATATTTTTTTCATCGTAATAAAAGTTTTAAATCGATTGTAAAACGTTTTTAACTTATAACATTTACTGCAAATATGCAATGTAATGCTCTCACCTTTACATTAACTTATTTACAGTGTCGACTAAGCGAGGTATACACGACAATAATAAAATCGACTTCAATGAGGGACATATTAGTTTTTAAAAGACAAATTAAAACAAACATGGTGTTAATGCGACTGTCGGTTTTTGCTTGTCGTTCTATCAGTTTTCTGTCCTTAAAGGTCAAATTACAGTAAAGAGGACATGTCACAAAGTTTTGTCATATATTGCATACAGCTGCGAAATTTAAAGCTTTAACTGAAAATCATAAGAATAGTGTATTTGTCTCTTTTATTTTCTGAATATTACAGAGTGAATTCTTTTACAATAGGTAAACTTTTGCACAGAAAGCACACAGATTCTGCCAAAAAACGTTCTTAATTTTGTCCTGAAATCAAATCTCCAATTACATATAAATTCATAGATTTTTTTTTTAAATTAATATGTTGTTGAAGCATCAATTTCCGTGTGATTGATCAAATAATTATTTTTGTGTACATACTAATCTGGTACCTGTACGGTAGTGGAAACGTCAAAAGTACATGTATATGTAATACTATCAACAACATATAAATTTTTAAGCAAAATCTTTGCATTGGGTTTTGGAGGATATATGATTTAAAGACATATTAAAGAACATTTTTCGCCGTTTTTATGTGCATTCTATACAAATGTGCATCTCATTAGAAAGAATAAATTCAGTTATATTTTGGAAAAAAAGATTAACGAAAAATTGTTTCCGATTTTCAGTCAGAGTTGTAATCAAAACTATACTAAAATGTGTAACATAGTCCATTCACTGTACTTTGACATTAACATGTTTCTGTGGTAGGTATATTGCAGTCTTTGTTAAAAGTTTTCCGATCGTTTAGGAATGCTTTTGGTGATATGGACGTCTCTGTTAAAGTTTTCTGTTTGTTTAGGAAATGTTTTGATGGAAGGTATATGGACGTCTCTGTAAATGTTTCCGTCCGTGAAGGAATGTTTTGGTTGTAGGTATATGAACGTCTGTGTGTGAATGTGTTCCGATCGTTAAGGAATGCTTTTGCTGATAGATATATGGACGTCTCTGTTAAAAGTTTTCTGTTTGTTTAGGAAATGTTTTGGTGGAAGGTATATGGACATTTCTGTAAATGTTCTCCGTCCGTTAAGAGATGTTTCGGTTGTAGGTATATGAACGTCTGTGTGTGAATGTTTTCCGACCGTTAATGAATGCTTTTGGTGTTAGGTATATGGATGTCTCTGTTAAAGTTTTCTGTTTGTTTAAGAAATGTTTTAGTGGAAGGTATATGAACGTCTGTGTGTGAATGTTTTCCGTCTGTTAAGAAATGTTTTGGTTTTAGGTATATGAACGTCTGTGTATGAATGATTTCCGACCGGTAAGAAATGCTTTTGCTGATAAGTATATGGACGTCTCTGCTAAAGTTTTCTTTTTGTTTAGGAAATTTGTTTAGGAAATGTTTTGGTGGAAGGTAAATGGACGTCTCTGTAAAAGAGGGGCGAAAGATACCAGAGGGAAATTCAAACTCATAAATCGAAAATAAACTGACAACGCCATGGCTAAAACAGAAAAAGACAAACAGACAAACAATAGTACACAAAACACAACATATAGACGTACATGTTTTCTGTTTGTTTAAGAAATGTTTTAGTGGAAGGTATATGAACGTCCGTGTGCGAATGTTTTCCGTCTGTAAAGAAATGTTTTGATTGTAGGTATATGAACGTCTGTGTGTAAATGTGTTCCGTTCGTTAAGGAATGCTTTTGATGGTAGGTACATGGAAATCTCTGTTAAAGTTTTCCGTCCGTTAAAGAATGTGCTGGTGGTAGGTTTGTTAACGTCTCTGTTGAGTTTTCCGTCCATTAAAGAATGTGCTGGTGGTGGGTTTGTTAACGTCTCTGTTGAGTTTTCCGTCCGTTAAAGAATGTGCTGGTGGTAGGTTTGTTAACGTCTCTGTTGAGTTTTCCGTCCATTAAAGAATGTGCTGGTGATGGGTTTGTTAACGTCTCTGTTGAGTTTTCCGTCCGTTAAAGAATATGCTGGTTGCAGGTTTGTTAACGTCTCTGTTGAGTTTTCCGTCCGTTAAGGAATGTGCTGGTTGTAGGTTTGTTAACGTCTCTGTTGAGTTTTCCGTCCGTTAAAGAATGTGCTGGTGGTAGGTTTGTTAACGTCTCTGTTGAGTTTTCCGCCCATTACAAATGGTTTTGGTAGTGGTATATGAACATGAACGTCTGTGTTAATATTTGCTGTCCGTTAAGGAATGTTTTGGTAGTAGGTATATAGATGTCTCTGTTAAAGTTTTTCGTCTGTTAAGGAATGTGCTGGTGGTATGTTTATGGACGTTTCTATTAAAATTTTCTGTCCGTTAAGGAATGCTTTTGGTATATCAGGTATATGGACGTCTCTGTTAAAGTTTTCTGTCCGTTGAGGAATGTGCTGGTGGTAGATATATGGACGTATCTGTTAATGTTTCCTGTCCATAAAGGTTTTTTTTGTAGGTATATGAAAGTCTGTGTTAATTTCTTCCGTCCGTTAAGAAGTGCTGGTGGTTGGTACATGTGCGTCTTTGTTAATGTGTGCCGTCCGTTAAAAAATGTGTATGCTGTAGTTATATATGAAGGTCTGTGTTAGAGGGTTCGTCCGTTAAGGAATATTTTGGTGGTAGGTATATTGACATCTCTGTTAAAGTTTTCCGTCGGTAAAAAAATGTTTTAATAGACACTTTCGAAAAGTCGTCTACAAAGACACTGACACCGATACCTACACTGACTACAAAAATAGAGGGACCGTATCAAAATGTCGAAACATACTAAATGAATGACCTCGAAAAACTTGATTGCACAGACCAAAAATATATTCAGTAATATTTCTTATATTTTTTTTATTCGGAATCGGAACTAGAAACACCGAATGCTCTTGTTAATTTCGGATTATTTTAAGTAATGAATTTGTGGTATTACATCTGTTGTTATATTAATTGTTTCCGTTTGCAACCATTCAAACCGAATACAGTGTTAAGGTAGAATATACAATTAAATGCTAGAAAGAACTGTAAAGATCTCCAATGAACAAATTATCTGCTATTAGTGATATATGTGCAGGCTTAGTTTATCGTCATCTGTTCTCCTAAATAAGGTATCTTAATTCTTATGAAGCAAGCGTATATTAAATTTGTGTAAATCAGCAGGTCTTGGGATTTGTAAGTTTCGGTGACTCAAGTAGAAAATATGCAATATTAGAATAAAAATGGCAAAAAAAATAATGATGATGATGATGATGGATGACTGCTTAACGTTCAGCGGCAAATTAATATGCATTTTCAGGACGAGAACATTTTAATGTAATATGAATATTAACCCTGCTTTGTACTAGACGGACACGCTGTTTCGGATTTTTAACGTGCTAGTTCACAAGGTAACAGTCCGCAGTAAGACATGTCACCTTACTCGGACACATTATTCTGACCGACCACTCTTTGCACTCACTCCTTAATGCCGCGTGTATGCTTAGCGGTAGCAGCAAATATTAAGTCTTTGGTTTGACCCGGCCGGGGTTTGAACCCACAACATCCCGCACTCGAGGCGAACACGCTACCATGAGACCACCGAGGCGGTTTTAATAAAATTTTGACAAAATTCACAAAAAAACAAAAATAAAAAAAAATATGTAAGACTCAAATCGACGTCCGGTCTCTAATCGACGTCCGTTCCTCAAATCGACGTCCAAATCTGACGTCACAATAATAGTCTATAAAATAACATCCAAATCGAAGGCCAATTTTATGCCCCTCTAATCGACGTCGTCTTGTTTGTTGATCTCGAATCGACGTCCAATTTTTGGCTTCTCTAATCGACGTCCGTTTTGTGGACATATCGCAGTGAAATCACAACTTTATTAAAGGTTGGATTGAACCTTAAACTTAAAAAGTTGCTGAAAAATATGAGTCCAAATCATAATACTTTTATAAAATTGGCTGTACGTTATGATTCTTTCTATTGTTTGAGTCTGTATACTACCCTCCAGATGTCTTTTGGTTATCTTAGTTTTTGGGTTGTTTTCTCGTTGTCGTAAAATGTATACCCAAATATCAATTTATTTATATGAAAAAGAAAGGAAAGCGACAACGTAGGTCGAGAATATGAACGTCTTTCACCAAAATATTAATATGCATGTACATGTAATAGTAATAGGATGTTGGTGATTGTCTTATTGTCACTTTCTGATGTTTGTCCTTTTATTTTGATAACAGTTTAAGAAAACAGTTATAGTTTCTGTAAGCTATTTCACAAAAAGACAAAACGATACAGATAGTATAAACAAAGACCAATTTCAAAAGAAACGATTCAATGAAAATAGACATCGCGATGAGAGTCTCCTCATCGTTCGGACGTCGTTTTTGTGATTCATTATGTCCAATGGACGTCGATTAGAGGGATAAAATATTGGACACTGATTTGAAAACGTGACGTCAGATTTGGACGTCGATTTGAGGAACGGACGTCGATTAGAGACCGGACGTCGATTAGAGACCGGACGTCGATCTGAGTCTAACAAATATACTTAATTAAATTATTCAAGTTATAATTGACAACGCGCAGCAACATCGGTTTTTAAATTTGGAGTGGAAGTTCTTCATAAGAATTTTTTTAATTTTACATCCAGGTATAAGAATTAGTAAAGGAACGTTTCATAAGAAATGAATTGGTTTTCTTGGTGTAATCAAGGATATTCATAGTGTACATGTATACAAATCCTTGGAGTAATCAGGGTGTGTGCGGAATTTTACAATGCATTTTCAGCACCGGTGTAAAATTCCGAACACCCCCGATTACACCAAAATAACTATTAATATCATCCATGTATTTATACTTTATGTTTCAGGCTATGAAATGCTGTACAAGTTCCTGTTTCTGATTAAAGTTCTACTAATTTACACAAAGCTCCCCCTTTTGTTACAATGTACTATAGTAAGATCGGTTAATTCTCAGCTACTAAACAAAACCAATAAAGGAGCAAATGAATCCAAATAAATCTTTTATACAGTATTTAAAAAAAATGTAAATTAGAAAAAATACCATATATATGTCTGAGGTCGTTGTACACATTGAGATGACCCCTTCTCAAAAAGGTTACCTGTAGGCATAGGTATAGGTGTAAGCGTCGGTATCGAATAGTTTTCGAAAATGCCTAGTAGTATAGGTATATGGACATCCCTGTTAAAATACATACATTGTACATAAAAGGGCTTGCGGCGTACCCATTACCATAAAACATTCCGTCTACAGGTCATCCAGGCTAGTAACGAACTATGTGGTGTTAGGTAAAGACTCCTTGTCATGTGTTACATTTTTGTATGTTGCTGTATCCATGATTTCCAATATGAAAACGTGAATTTCCCAAAAGCACTTTGTAACTACAAAATATTTTGTATGGATATTTATACACCCGAAGAAACGCTTGAGAAGGAAATAAACGCCTTTTTAAAATAAAGCAAATCAGTGACACAATATCAATACTGAGTACTGTTTGTTAGAAAGTATAATTCAACCGTCTGTAAGTATCAAAGATCAGTGGTCGGGGAGTTCAACCGTCTGTAAGTATCAACGATCAGTGGTCGGGGAGTTCAACCGTCTGTGATTATTAAAGATCAGTGGTCGGGGAGTTCAACCGTCTGTAAGTATCAAAGATCATTGGTCGGGGAGTTCAACCGTCTGTAAGTATCAAGATCAGTGGTCGGGGAGTTCAACCGTCTGTAAGTATCAAAGATCAGTGGAAGTCGGGGAGTTCACACTTACTGTGGTTAATAAGATGTGGTATGATTTCCAATGAGACAACTATCCACCAGAGACCAAATGACGTAGCAACTATAAGTCACCGACTTCATCAATGAGTAAAGCCCATACCGCATAGCAAGCTATAAAAGGCACCAACATGAAAAAATTAAGTTATATAGGTTAAAAAAATCAATTTTGAGACGAACGTGAGTACTAGAGATAAACCATATGTCACTATCGGCGGAATAAAAATGTTAAGTTATAAGATTAAATACATTTATTTTAACCGAAAATAAATAAAACCATTTTGGAACCAATAATGAGGCCTCAGATACCATGATTTAAGAGGTAACTTTCATGTATAATTTTAGCTTGGACAGTTCAATTTTACATTTACAATTGCAATACCAATAATGCTTAACCGTACTATACCTTTAAATTGAGCATAGTTCCTTTTAGGAAGACAAGTAACTGTATATCTCACTGGATATAAATGATTTGATATGGAGGTATAATTATTTCACTGAATATGAATGATTTAAATTAGACAACAACCAAACAACACAATAGTACCAAAATGACGCATGGATATGTTTACAACACAAACTTGCTTCTTTTCGACCATTCAACGTAATAAATTCAATTATCATATACTTAGACTAAATAACATATGATTTTTACCGTGTGATAATAGCATTAAATTTACGTAAATTCCATATTTTTCGAATTGGTGCTTAGCGGGCTGATATGAAAAGTTTATCACATGCTTCGACTTTTATCACATGCCTTTCCGTAACGTTATCGCATGGCATTCCGGTGATACTCGGCAAATCCCGGAAAATACACCTCAATGGTACATTTTCAGTGAAACACATAACAAAGTAGGATACAAAACAATTATTAGGAAACAGAAAAATATATTATATAAAATGCAAAAAAAACAAATGATACATAAATGCATTTTTCAACGTTTCCAGCATAATTTAGAAAGTTACTTTTCTGTACAAATGTTGACTTTTCCAAACAGTGTTCATTATGTTTTGTTGATTTTTATATCGTCAATATAAAAATATATTATACTGTTTTATTTCTCCTCTGTTGAGGCATATGATATAAAGATTTCATATCGGATGTATTACATTTGGCGTCCGACGTCCGTATACTTTTCACCTTTTTAAATTCTACTTGAGAACCACTTAAAAGGATCAATATTGTAAACTGTTATTGTTCTCCATTGTTGAAGCATATAATAAAAAGATCATAACATGTCATTTTTCATATCAGATGTATTATCAGCCCTCGGTCAATATCAGCCCAAGAACCTTGGGCTGATACTACATCTGATATGAAAAATGCCATGTAATAATCTGATAGTAATGCATTCTCAAGATTAAAAATAGTATTAGGGTGTTTGAAATTGATTATCATTTCGAGTAATTTATAATTCATTCCGTTCGATTTTCTTCCAACACAGGTCTCACACATTTGCAGTCGTTACATTACATTGAGCTTTCGAATAGTAAATGATACGAAATAATAAGTCAGGTAAATATATAAGAGACTAAACAGTTTGTGTCATATACATATATAAACAGTAGTATATATATACAAGTCTAAATTGAAAACAACGTTCAAACCTATGATTGCGTTGGATAAAAACTGCAATTTTTATACGTGTACAGGCAAAACAAGTTTCTTGGTAGAGGGGTCTAAATACAGCATAATTACTAGTAGTATATATATACCAGATGGCAAACATTAATGGCTGGACGAATCCAATATCGAAAGAAAGAATAAAACTATAGTTACAAAAACAAACAAATACAATATTTGCTATACAAATATAAAAAAGGTACTTTACGCTACAATAACTGCCTAATTTTTGCCATGGTCTTATTTTATCCAAATCAAAATGATATAAAAGTATAAAATCATGTTAAAGGTTATGTTTTCAAATTCTTCTATTAACCGAGCGCTTGAACTACGTCTGCTGATAAGGTTCAATTAGATTAAATGTTGCATTGATTTCCTTCCCAGAATTCCTATCGACAGCAGTTATTCCTATTTCCGTATTACCTAAGACATATTCGACGTCTACCCACCTTGTTTCTTCACAAGTATCGGTAAATGTTATTGTTGGTTTACACAGCAAGTTACAACTTTCGTCATCAACGTAGGCTGGATTAAAATCGTCTGATATGTATATCATGAAGTCCATCTTGTCTTGATGTTTATACGGTGTAAAGTACGATCTCTTTATTTTCGTACCCGCTTCGACACTTTCGTCTTTTAAGACAATCACAGAAAATATATTGTCGCACCTCTCTTCCCCGTCCATAACGACCAAATGCTTCCGATCAAACTTCCTCTCATCAAATGGAAGACTTGTTTTGACGCCATAACTAAATCGCATGATTCTTGATTTTATATAACTTGGATTGTGTCCAAATAATACTGCTCCTTTTAAGACGCACATTCCTGCGTCTTCCGGAGTTATAATACGTTTCTGTGGAAATTCTTGTTTTACTGCGTCGTGTATAAGTTGACATTCGGAAAAACCACCAACCATCAGGAAATGCGATATCCCTTTTGTTTGTCTGTTGCTAAGGACTTCTTTTAACAAAGAAATAACTTTGTCAATAGATGGTTTAAAGATATTCCTCATTGCATCAGCGTCCATTCTCATTTTATCACCAAGAAGCTTGATTTCATTTGCATATTTTGATGATTCGACCAAGGCTTGGAAATCTTTGTTGTGATCCTTTCGGCATACTTTATCGAGCGAAACGACAGGGATTGTCATATTCACTTTCCCTTTTTTCTTTGTTTCAACTGTTCTCTTCACAGCCTCAAATTCTCTTTCGATGTCCAAATAAGCCAAAGGGTCATTTTCTCTTAAAGATTTCAAGGTCGACTCACCAACAATGTCTTCAAGTATTTTAAAGAATCTTTTATCTACGGATGTTCCTCCGCAATCATTTCCTGTGGCTCGATGTTTTTCTATTAGCTGACCGTTAGCAGCTTTCCGGTGGACCGTTATGTCTGCCGTGCCACCTTATAATTAAAAGAAAAAAACATTTATTTATGTGTATTAAATAGATACCAAAGCTATATTTAACATTGTCAAATATGATAATAACTTTTAATTACGTCCATACATATCAATGTAACAAACGGGTTGTAAAAGTTCAAGTTAAGAATTTAAAATTTATCTAATTTGTAACAATCGTTGGTTGTATAAATATTTGGATGTATCTCTTCAATCTTGTTAAAGAATTACAATTGCAATAAAGAAAATATTCACCGTCATTTTTTTAAAGGTATTACTTAGTTTTTTTTCCTTTGAATATTGTTGAAACGACAACTTTCTATTCTTATTTTACGGACGCCATCACGAGTTGGTTGATCGTTATGGAATATCTGGTTCACAGATGTCGACGGCTATGTTCCAATTGTCGTAACCACAATCCTTTCCTCTTTTCATCGAATGTAACCAACCGAATTAGATTTATCACCGAGTTTGTACTTAAATTAGCAGCACTATGGGTGCCACATGTGGAGCAGGATCTTCTTAATCTTCCGGAGCACCTGAGATCACCCCCGGTTTTTGTTGGGTTCGTGTTGCTTAGTCTTTAGTTTTCTATGTTGTTTTTTGCATACAGTTGTTTGTCTTGTGTTTAGTTTCTATGTTGTTTTTTGCATACAGTTCTTTGTCTTGTGTTTAGTTTCTATGTTGTTTTTTGCATACTGTTGTGTGTCTTGTGTTTAGTTTCTATGTTGTTTTTTGCATACAGTTGTTTGTCTTGTGTTTAGTTTCTATGTTGTTTTTTGCATACTGTTGTGTGTCTTGTGTTTAGTTTCTATGTTGTTTTTTGCATACAGTTCTTTGTCTTGTGTTTAGTTTCTATGTTGTTTTTTGCATACTGTTGTGTGTCTTGTGTTTAGTTTCTATGTTGTTTTTTGCATACAGTTGTTTGTCTTGTGTTTAGTTTCTATGTTGTTTTTTGCATACTGTTGTGTGTCTTGTGTTTAGTTTCTATGTTGTTTTTTGCATACTGTTGTGTGTCTTGTGTTTAGTTTCTATGTTGTTTTTTGCATACAGTTGTTTGTCTTGTCTTTAGTTTGTATGCAGTGTTTTGTATAACAGTTACTGTTTGTCTTTTGGTCGTTATTGACTTTTATGCCGTGACATTGTCAGGTCGTTATTGACTTTTGTGCCATGACATTGTCAGGTCGTTGTTGACTTTTGTGCCATGCCATTATCAGGTCGTTATTGACTTTTGTACCGTGACATTGACAGGTCGTTATTGATTTTTGTGCCGTGACATTGTCAGGTCGTTATTGACTTTTGTGCCGTGACATTGTCAGGTCGTTATTGACTTTTGTGCCATGACATTGTCAGGTCGTTATTGACTTTTATGCCGTGCCATTGTCAGGTCGTTATTGACTTTTGTGCCGTGACATTGTCAGGTCGTTACTGATTTTTGTGCCGTGACATTGTCAGGTCGTTATTGACACTTGTGTCGTGACATTGTCAGGTCGTTATTGACTTTTGTGCCGTGACATTGTCAGGTCGTTATTGACTTTTGTGTCGTGACATTGTCAGGTCGTTATTGACTTTGGACCGTGACATTGTCAGGTCGTTATTGACTTTTGTGCAATGACATTGTCAGGTCGTTATTGACTTTTATGCCACGCCATTGCCAGGTCGTTATTGACTTTTGTGCCGTGACACTGTCAGGTCGTTACTGACTTTTGTGCCGTGACATTGTCAGGTCGTTATTGACTTTTGTGTCGTGACATTGTCAGGTCGTTATTGACTTTGGACCGTGACATTGTCAGGTCGTTATTGACTTTTGTGCAATGACATTGTCAGGTCGTTATTGACTTTTGTGCCGTGACATTGTGAGGTCGTTATTGACTTTTGTGTCGTGACATTGTCAGGTCGTTATTGACTTTTGTGCCGTGACATTGTCAGGCCTTTATTGACCTTTGTGCCGTGACATTGTCAGGTCGTTATTGACTTTTGTGCCGTTACATAGTCAGGTCGTTATTGACTTTTGTGCCGTGACATTGTCAGGTCGTTATTGCATTTTGTGCCATGATATTGTCAGGTCGTGACATTGTCAGGTCGTTATTGACTTTTGTGCCGTGACTTTGTCAGATCGTTATTGACTGTTGTGCCGTGACATTGACAGGTCGTTATTGACTTTTGTGCCGTGACATTGTCAGGTCGTTATTGACTGTTTTGCCGTGACATTGACAGGTCGTTATTGATTTTTGTGTTGTGACATTGTCAGGTCGTTATTGACTTTTGTGCCGTGACATTGTCAGGTCGTTATTGACTTTTGTGCCGTGACATTGTCAGGTCGTTATTGACTTTTGTGTCGTGACATTGTCAGGTCGTTATTGACTTTTGTGCCGTGACATTGTCAGGTCACTATTGACTTTTGTGTCGTGACATTGTCAGGTCGTTATTGACTTTTGTGTTATGACATTGTCAGGTCGTTATTGACTTTTGTGTTATGACATTGTCAGGTCGTTATTGACTTTTATGCCGTGACATTATCAGTTTGTTATTGACCCTTGTGCCGTGACATTGTCAGGTCGTTATTGACTTTTGTGCCGTGACATTATCAGGTCGTAATTAACTTTTATGCCGTGACATTGTCAGGTCGTTATTGACTTTTGTGCCGTGACATTGTCAGGTCGTTATTGACTTTTGTGCCGTGACATTGTCAGGTCGTAATTGACTTTTATGCCGTGACATTGTCAGGTCGTTATTGACTTTTGTGCCGTGACATTGTCAGGTCGTAATTGACTTTTATGCCGTGACATTGTCAGGTCGTAATTGACTTTTATGCCGTGACATTGTCAGGTCGTTTTCGACTTGTGAGTTTTTATTATCTCTTTGGTATCTTTAGCCTCTCTTTTTCTTCTAAGTTATAATCACTGATTCAAAATTTTATAATAATTTGTCTATTTCTAAGATTAAGAAAATTTTCTAATTGTTTAACTGTTTTAAATTTTACTATATAAGGTATTTATAAATAAGAAGATGTGGTATGAGTGCCAATCCATGTCACAATATGTAAAAAGTAAACAATAAGAGATCAAATTACGGCCTTCAACACGGAGCCTTGTCTCACATCGAACAGCAAGCTATCAAGGGCCCCAAAATGACTAGTAAGGGTAAAACAATTCAAACAATAAAACCAACGGTCCATTTTATATCAAAAACGAGAAACGAGAAATACTTTTAAAAGAACCACACTAACAAACGACAACCACTGAACAACAGGCTCCTGACATATATAAATGCATATGTCCCCATTAAAAAGCATTTATAGTAAAAAAAAGGAGGGGTTCCAATCCTTTGAACCACCCGGATCCGCCATGGGTGTCAGTTTGAGCAAACATTAACCGAGAATTATCCTGTAATGCGTGCATAATTTATCTTACTAAATAATTTACCATTACTTATTCTATAATTCAATACCCGACTCTCTCATTTAAATCTATTACCTCCAAGATCCACAACCATGTACTCTGTTCCCTGTTTCGACATAATAAATGATTTCTCAGCTTTTAGTTTCTCCACTGGTAGGTACTGGCAGAAAATTGATGCTGTTTCTGGTTCCAAGGCCAATATTAATTTATCAGGAGGAATGCCTGCCTGCAATTAGAGTAGTTCGATTTTATTGAAATATAAAGATCTAATAATAAAAAACGGTTTTCTCTTACTGATACTAACACCAACGTTAACAAAGACCCCAAACAATGCTTCCTGTAGTATGACAGCAGTATACCAAAAGTGCATATCGAAAGGAATAGGGACACACGTAGGAACTGTGACAGAAACAATAGAAACAATACTTTAATTATGATATTTCTATCACAAATTAAATTATTAATTTTATAAAATAACTAATTCATCTACGTCTTAAAGGAAAACCCTAAATCCTTTAATCACAAATAAAGTAAACACTGGAATATGTCATTATTCACTTGACTTAAAATCTTGATTTTTTCACTATGAAAATCTATTTAGTTTTGCAGCATATTCCATATGCTGCAAAACTAAATAGATTTGCAGCATATTCCATATGAGTTTTCCTTGGTGCCTTTTATAAATTAACATAACAAGCATTCTGAGAGTATTGCATGGCAATACATAGTCCCCTACCGGTTAAAAATTCATTTCTATGTAACAAATATCAAGTCAATATCTTCAAGCATGACAAAAAGTGTGGAAAGCTGATTAATTAAGTGAATTTTCAAGTCCACGGACCATAACTCTGCACAAAATCATCAGACCGGAACAAATTTCGAATTTTATCTCCAACTTGTCATGTTAAAAAAAAACTATATACCAATCATCATATCCATATCTTCAAGCATGACGAAAAAAAGTGCTTTTTATAATAAAACAATACACCAAAGTTCAAATCAATATCTTCAAGCACGAAGAAAAAAGTGTAGAAAACTAATTTACCGGACTGACGAACGGACCGACCGACCGACCGACCGACCGACAGACAGACAGACAGACAGACTGCTGACTGACTGACAGAGTGCAAACCAGACAGACAGACAGACAGACTGCTGACTGACTGACAGAGTGCAAACCTAAAGTCCCCTTCAACTTCGTCGGTAGGGGACTAAAAAGAGATTTGAAGATGACAAAACTGTTTTGATTAATAATAATGCAATATAATAAAAATGACAATAATAATGAATACTACTGTCCAAGTCGGGAGCCTCTGGCCTTTGTTGGTCTTGTATGGTTTTTTTTTTATTTTAGTTCCTTTATATGTTTTGGAGTTTAGTGTGACGTCCAGTTTCACTGAACCAGTACATAATTTTATTTAGGGGCCAGCTGAGGACCACCTCCGGGTGCGGGATTTTCTCGCTGCGTTGAAGACCCATTGGTGGCCTTCGGCTGCTGTCTGCTCTTTGGTCGGCTTGTTGTCTTTTTGACATATTCCCCATTTCCATTCTCAATTTTACTACAATGACATAAGACAGCTGTTTTTTTGGGGTTTTTTTTGCTTCCGTCATGAATTAAAATTAAATTAAATACAGTATATCATTTTTCCCATTACATATAGCTTTTTGCTGTAATGCGGTCGTAGAGAGCTCCTCTGATTTTATTTTATAGTTATTTGTAAATACATTTCTTTTTTTCCACATCTGTATTCGTAATCGCACAGTTATAGAAACAAGAGGCAGAAGATATCAAAAAGGGCTTTCAAAAATCATAAGTAGAAGAAAAACAATTATTAAAACGTCAAAAAAAAAGAAACGAAACCACTACAAAAAATAGATGAGGAATGTGTCCACGAGACACAGATGATGCCCCGCTAGCATATAACGTTATAAAAGGACATAACCCAAGACCGGCAAAAGTGACGCTATCTAAATTCGTACTTGATCTGATTTTATGGTAATAAGCATTGGGTATAAAATTCTTAACATTTTGTCAAGAGAAACTTAAGTTAGAAAACGGAAACGAAAACATTCAGCAGTTTTTCCAATTGTATAGGGGCATAACTCTAGAAATGTAAAAGTGACGCCACCCAAATTCAAACTGGATCTGCGTTGGAGTAATAAATATTGTGTATAAGATTCATAACATTTGATTAAGGCAAACTAGAGTTAGAGAACGGAAACCAATTTCGGGACTTACAGACGGACGTACAGACGAACACGGGTACAACTTAATGCCCCTCCTCTACGGCGGGAGCATAATAACAAAGACTGGGCACAACCAGCTCAAACAAAAAGAACATTGCATGAGGGTAATGATTTAATCATTTCCAAATTACAGTTTTCAAGTTTCTAGCTTGTGGAAGTCTTTCCAAAAAAAAACAATCACAGGACTACAAAAATAACCAATAATTCCTTGCTAGACATTGAACAGCCACGCTACATTAGTGTATTGATGAACAATGCTTTGGGGTGAAATCAATAAGTTAAACCGAGGTTATTTACCTGTTCTGCACTTGACCTCATGAACTGTTTCGCTGTATCTCTCCATATTGCTGGTACTGTCAAAACCCATTGTACCTCGTTATGCTGAACACCGGTACCTTGTTTGTCTAACGTTTCTAGCAAATGGTCGACTAAAAACTTGATTGACAACTTGAAGACTTGAAGAGCTGTGAGAGGTTTCCCAGTTACATCCTCTAATACCATGTCCGCTGTTATATTCTAAACATTATAAACAAATGTTAAAAACAACATATCTAACGACCTTAGTACAAATATTTGTGAATTTTAAACATTATAAACAAATGTTAAAAACCACATATCTAACGACTTTAGTGCAAATATTTGTGAATTGTAAACATTATAAACAAATGTTAAAAACAACATATCTAACGACCTTAGTGCAAATATTTGTGAATTTTATAAAAAAAAAGTTTGTCAAAATTGTTCTTATTCATTTGTAGGAAAACTAAGAATTTTACATATATTTATTTAATTCCTTTCACAAATTTTTATAATTGTCTGATTTTTTGGTTAGAAAATACATCTTCAATTGTCAATCAACCTATGCCTAATCTTCCTGAAAATACTATGCGAACATGGACGGTCATTCCTTTAACCAAAACAAGCTCCAAGTGGTGACTTGTGTATACAAATATTGTTATCCTTTGAAATTCTCCAATCCGGCAGTAAGCCCCTTGCTCAAGTGGGGCGTCCGTGTGGCTGTGCGGAATGTATACATGTGCATCCATGTCCGGTCTGAATGGAAGCTTTAAAACTGACTTTTGTAGAAAGTGTGTCGCGCTCTCTTCAGGTAAAGAACTCTTGCAACAACTCTATTTTTTTTTACCGTGCCCAATTGCAAGTCAAAATTTTGGCCTACTTGCCCACATACCTCCATTTTCCGGTCGAAATCGGTCATGAGAGAGGAGGAGGGAGGACACTAGATGCTAGACCATTTACTAAGTATAATTTATTTTTTAAACAGACTCACTTTGAATTACACGTAAATTTTACAAAAAAACAGAAATAGGAAGCATTCTCTTTAAAAGAAATCTAAATCCAGTTGCAAAAACAACAACAAAATTATACATTTTATAAATATTTCCATTATTTTGTACTCGATAGACAGGTTACCGCAGAAAGGGATTCTATTTCATAGACTACTGGATAAAACGTATTCTTCCGAAATATCACTATCAACATAAAAGACACGAATCAAGCTCACGACATCATGATATCAAAACTAAATATAGAATGAGAACTGGGATTGATAAGGAACATGTTCAAACATAAATAACATTACCTTATTGTTGTGTAAGTTCATTTTAAACCGATGAAAGTAATAATGGTCGTCTTTTTCACCATCCAAGAGAACTTCTGCATACTGATTTTCTGCGTCGTATCCAAAGGCCAGGAACTCTTTGTCTTTGTCTAACAGCAGACATGTTGGAGCTTTCAGTGACACAAACTGACGACTTCCAGCTTTCCATACTGGATTGGCATGAATTTTCATTGGGTCTGCTTTGAATTCATGTCTCATTGAAAATGCATATCCACTATACGTTGTACCAAAATCCAATGCTGCTACTATTAAATAACTTGAGTCAGCCATTTTGTCTTTAATTTAACCTAAAAATTATATATTCAAACACTTTAAGGCGAAGTATATGTAATTGCACGCCTCTAGCGGAATTTGGGATAAAAAAAAACGTGCGTCGTTAGTTACGTGAGTTATCTCCCCTACTCCAAGAAAGGTACATGAAAGAGAAATGACTTCGTGCGGTCTATCACGAATCCAAACAAGTATTCCTGTGCTATCTCAAAACTTCAAAGAAATTATCAGAATGACTCTAATCAGAAATTTGAGTATCCTAGTGTGAGTTAGTCTGACTCTATTACCACTGTTTTTGTTTTAGACACACAAGAGCAGGTACACAATACGACTCGTGTTTATTTCAACAGAAAGTAAAAACGCCTAACAACAAAATTATAACCAAATAAACAAATAAACCAATGTCAATTCTGCTTCTTTTCGTATCAAATTCATTAAAATCAAACCAGAATTGACCCCACAATATTTTTTTGAAAAACCATAGTTTTGAATGAAATTCACAGTGTAGCGTAAAATTGTAGGTAACGAATAATTACATTGCATGCATGTGAATTTGTGTGTTGAACTAGAAAGACGTTGGCATGTCCGTTTTTTATGCAATTGAAAATTTTAGGACATGATTTATATTCATATGAAATTTCTAAAAAGTATAAAAGATACTAAGGGGTAATCGACCATTAGGGACCGTTCAATATTTATCAGATGGATGTGCCGGTGCAAAATGGGGCAAGGCAAGCACATTTTTGTGTAAATATTTGGATGGGCGAGATCTTTTTTTTAATATGTATAGTGGATGGGCCAGAACTTATTTAATAGGAAAAAAATTTGCTATAAATTTTGTCGGTGTGTAGGAAATTTCTTTTGCAGGCACACAAAACACAATAAAAACAAAAGTAATGATTTTAAAGTATCAAATCATGTAACATGAAACACAACATTTTAGAAATAATTAAAAGGCACCTAATTTAATCATGAAGAATGAAAACACAACATTTTAAAACTTTGATCAACCAACAATTTTCATATGAATGGAGTCATCTCCCATGTATTAAAGATTGTAAAATTATACTTGTCTGATATATTCAGTTTCTCTAATTTTTCGTCAATTTATCCCTTTCTGCACCCATTGTATAAAAAAAATTTAATCAACGTGTGGTTCGTTTGATCTCAGTTCTTCATTGGTTAAAATCTGATTATGACGTCGAATTTTCTTGCTTTCCTCTGAATTTCCTATTGTGACGGCATGAAAAAAGGCGACCATGCCCGATGACGTCACATAGATAGAACACATCTTTTTGCAGATCATTCGAAAAGAAGGAATAAGTTTGCCTGCGTATTGTTTGAAAATCATTAGAGAAACAGATTCCACCACCAAATCTCGTGTAATACGATATTTATCCACTCTCGACAGTTAAATTTTAAATATTTAAAACGCTCGGCGAGCCTCGCGTTTTCAGTTTGAAAATTTAACTGTCTCGAGTGGATAAATATCGTATCACACTCGATGCAGTGGTAGAATCTATATATATAGCTTCTGATCAATGCTTAAAAATATAAAAAAAACTATAGAAATAGATTTGCATACTGACTTATATTCACTAATTTCAAAATGACAGTATAACTTCAAGAGCACATGTATTTAAAAAAAAATGTAAATTATCTGTTCTACTTTAAATAATACCGGCATAGGCTGTCCTTTACATGTTTCAATAATAGATAATTTTATAGTATGGATGATATTCTATATTAATCTTAAAGACAGATATAGGATCTATTTATTCAGCAATAGTTTGTTCCAAACATATTTCAAGCACCAGTCTTACAGTGTACAAATATTTCAATTATATTTCAAGAACTAAGCAGGATTTACCTATGGTACCTGTATTAAAGGAAATCCTAAAGGTTTTATTAAACGAGTTTTTGTGGTGCAATTAAAAGATATGCAGATTATGTATACCACCCATATTTTGAATGGACTTGAGTAAAAATGTAAAAAGGGATCTGAATTCAATACAAAACTGTTAGAAAGGGGAGATAATTTATTGGTTAGCAATATAATTTACTATCATTTTAAGAAAAATCATTGATGAGTTTCACATGTTTTAGTCTTGTCTATACTATATTCTGAATTCAATTTGATATTGATAGATGAAACAATCTATATATGAGAATAAATCTAGCACTATAAATAACAAATACACAGATTTTAATGTATATATGTAGATGTGAATCAATCATGTTTGCTCTTGATAAGGAGAAACAACTCCTGCTTTTTAATGTTTTCCAAATATACATGACTATACGAGTTATGATATATTACAGACATTGCTACTTTTAAATGATAATTCTGCTTTTAACATTAAAAACTAACACTTATGCAATTATTTAATACAACAAAGACTTAAAAAGAGATACATTAAACAGTTTCAAATTGAAAAAGACCTCAGGTTTCAGAATAAATATAAACTTAGTACATTTAATAGTATGGTTACGATTTCTTCATATGTTTATGACTTGTATGAATATTGTTAGCACTTCTTAAGCCTTTGTTAAAGGCTGGCTGATATAGTATACTATTACTTATGTATTGAGATGTAATTGTGATGTTTATATGTATTGTATCAGGCTGCACTTCAGATAAAATCACATCTATACATGTATATTCATACTGGATTTAAACAACAATATATGGAATAAACAAGAACATTTTGTATTTTGTATTACACCAAAGTCTATTTTTTGATTTCCAGACATAAAGTTGCATGCAAACATTAGAATAGAAAAAGACACTAAATCATTATTGATTGTCTTTAAGTTTAAGAGGGGCAAGCACTTTTTTATACAATTTGTGAGATGGACAAGCACTTTTTATGCAGAATTTGAAAGGATTGGCATCAACTTTTTTTATGAAACAATATTAAGAATGCACCGGCTCATCCCTCTGATAAATATTGAACGGTCCATTAGTGCAACATTTATAAGTCGAAGAACAACTTGAAGCCAACAAAAAAAAAAAAAACCATCAGATTCCGTCCACAAAACATTGCACAGAAACTAAGAATTGAGCACTATAACATTTATCACAGAATAAGTAAAATCTATGTCATCCAAATCTCAGTTGTCAAGGTGTAGAAAATAAACAGGTGTATTCTATTCCGTCCGCATTTTTTGGGGAAAGTAAAATCTAAATTTAAAACCATGGTTAAAACTGGAACTATACATGTATGATAAAAATAGAACATGTTTATTTTTCCTTATCAAATTCCTATTTCGATGGGATAGCGAAATTTGTTTTCTTTTGTTGTGCCTCTGTGTATCATTCAGAATTAGTGAATACAATTTTGAAGTAAAATGTTTCTTCTCAAGTCTCAATTGAAGATTGTGGTAGAATAGAGTATAAGAGTATAAGGTAGGGGAAGAAGGGGGAGGGGGTGAAGAAAATAATGTATACAATGTCGGGGCCCTTTATAGCCGACTATATATACGGTATGGATTTTTCTCATGTTGAAGGCCGTATGGTTGCCTATAATAATTGCTTACGTCCACTTCATTTACGGTAGCTGAGGTGTCTAAATTTTCGACAATAGATTTTTCTTAAACTTCTGTAAAGACTTCTGGGTCAATTTAATTTCAAATTACAAAATAAAAACTGGGGATCACGGACCTTGTTTTTTAGTAATAATACATTGAAATTAACAAAATTTGGGTTATTTTATATTGTTTATACAGGGGAAACCTAAGTTTTTCTTATTGAGGAAACTTTAAACAATAAAATTGGCTAAAATTCGATGAGAGAATTGCTTTTCATTAATACTTCTGAAATATCAAATAAAAATAGGGGGTCACGGGCCTTATGTTCTTTAAAAATATCCCCAAAAATTTTAAATATACTTTACGACACTTAATTTTTTGATAGTTCAATCTTTAAATTTCAAGTTTTAGGTATTTTGTTGTATAATGAATGATACTTGGTAAAATATTTTGAAAGCTAAAAAGTATTTTTGCAACATGACCAGAACGGACGCTCAGAAACAAGACACCCGATCTACATTAAACTGTGGCAGATAGTTGTCTCATTTGCAATCATACCACATCTCCTTATTTTTATATTATATTAACGAAAAAGCAATTCATTTGCATTATATACAGGCACATTTCACGAGTATGGCACTACACAAGGTAAACTCGTATAGCATTACATTATGAACAGTCTCCTTGCATTACACTAGGTACATTCTAATACAATTACACTTGGTACAATTTTTAGCATCATACTGGATGGATACATTCTCATAACATCGCCCTTGGTACATTCTTATAGCATTACATCAGTACATTTATAGCATTACACTAGTACATTTATAGCATATCACTCAATATACACAAACCTTTAGCATTACACTATACACAATGCTATAGCATTACGATATACACAATGCTAAGGCATAACAATGGGAATGATCTGTGCTACGGGAAGTTATATCAAAAACTCCGATCTGTTTTATTTTGCTGAAATTCATATGCGGGTTCTTCTTTTGACCTTATTACAGCCATACAAATTCTCAAGATAATATGCAGATGCAGTTTTCTTATTTTTTGGGAGTCGTGCATGTGGACATTTAACAAATAATGGTACAAGAAATTATTTCCTTTGCTACTGAAACTCCAGCAAACATTATATCATGCTTTGTCGTGTAGTTAGAGAAAAGGGAAAGCGATCGAGACAGGAAATTTTTAAAATAAAATTGCAGAGTTGTGTCACGTGCACGTGTGTTAACCTGACAAATAAAATGGGTTTGTGCGCAATACCTCGAATAGCGCCGCAAATGGTGAGGATGAAAAGATACAGAAAATTATATTTACTTTTTTAAAAAACAAACATGCAGAAATAAGATTAAAAAATGACGTGTTTACGCGATCCGAATATTATAACCGATTATTTAAATATGTATAGAATCATTCTGTCAACGCTGTGTTAAACGGGACAATTTCAAACTCGATATTTGATTCATAAAAA